CGGAGCAAGTTGATGAACTTGGGTAACCTCAAGATCCCTCTCCCTCTTTATGACATGTTGATGGTGTATCAGTGATGTATCAATGATGCTTCTGGAAAGGTCTTATGGGAAGTGGGGGAAGGTCTTAAATGAGTGTGTAATCTATGTTGGGGTTCTTACTCCGTGTGGGAACCTGCTGTGCAGCAGTAAAGATTGTGGTCTACTGATCACTGTTTTGCTCCAAATTACTTGGCTGGAACTTCTTTCTTTTACTGACCACATAGAACCGCGGGGGACTTGCACCCTGGCAAGCTGGGCTGTTGAGTAGTCTCTCACCCTGGATTTTTTCCTTAACAGAGGGGAGAGAGCAGTGGCAGTTCTGAAGCAGGTTGGTTAGATTAGTACTATAGGAACAGCATTATACTCCCCATTGCTCCTGCTGTAATAAAGTAACAAAAATGAACATTTTTACACAGTTATCTTGAAACCCTTGTTTATTTTTCAATAAATCCTTTGTATTCCACCACACCCCTCATCCTTTGCTACCTTAGGAGAGAAGTGTTCAAAGAGGAGCTCTCAGCAGGAAATAAGAGGGAGTTTGGTGCAGACCCAGTCCAGACCCATCTCATAGGGGGAGGGTGGCGCAGGGGTGTTTGGGCAGCGCCAGAGCCACGCCAAGGAAAGATGGGGTGGCAGAACATTGGGAGATAAGCCAGACCTCTGCAGAGTATATTCCGAAGTGCTTCCTTAAGAACAAACCCCGTCCTTCTTACAACAGCCCTAGAAGGCAGGCCGGGAAGTCCCCCCCCGATATTGCAGGAAGTCGAGGAGCAGGGCTGGGGGCTGGAGGGGGGCTGAACCAGAGACTCTCTTCCTTGTCTGTTGGCAGCACTGGCGGCGCAGTCCCAAAGAAAGGACTCCTTCACGCTCTCTCCTTCCCGCCACTCCAACTAGTCCACAGACAAGGTCCCTCGGAGAACCTTCCTTGTCCGCTACAGGAAACCCCGAGCTCCGCAAAGCCCTTGCGGGGATGTTAAGAAGGGTCTTAAACAAACAAGAACCGCTCCGCCCCCAAAGAGAAGAAGGCCGGAACTCCCTCCTGGGCCAGAGGGCGGCGGAGCTGGGCGCGCTAGGCTTGCCAAGGGTGAAAAGGCCTGGCGCCGGATTCCTCGAGAGGACAAGAGAGGAAGGCATCCCGAGCCCAAGCGAAGGGTGAAAAGGCCTGGCGCCGGAGTCCTCGAGAGGACAAGAGAGGAAGGCATCCCGAGCCCAAGCGAAGGGTGAAAAGGCCTGGCGCCGGATTCCTCGAGAGGAGGGCGGGCGCAGGTCCCTCGCTGGTCTCTTCCGGCTCGGCTCTCTCTCCTCCCGGGAGCCTCGGAGGGCGAGTCTTTCTTCCCCGGGGGAGGGGGAGCCGGTCCCGGGGCCGCAGCCGGGGTGCGCGGGGACCCCCAGGGCAGGAGGGAGCTGAGCATCGCGGCTCTTCCTCGGGGTCCGGGGGAAACGGGCGTGCAAAGGACGAGAGACAAAGCAGATGATTCACAGACGGGGAAGCCAGGCAGAAGCATTTGGACATAAATATCTGGGCAAAAAATGAACACCTGAGCCCTGCAATCCGTAGAGAAAGACGGTCGGAAGAAAAGGAAGCGCGTCTTCCTGCGGTGAAGTATGGATCTCCCTCCCGCGGGAGGCAGGCAGGGCCTCCGAGCTGGCAAGAAGGACGGGTTGTTAGCCCCCGGGGGTGGGACGGGGAACCTCGCCTGGCAGCTCTCCGCCCTCACAAGACTCCCACAATCAGGGCCGGAATGTAAATGCAGGCATGCGATATAACAGTCCCGCACATCTGCAGCAGGAGGATGGAAAGTCCCAACATTCCGAACTAACCCCGTTCCCCGGGATTCTTTGGAAGCCATGGCTCTTTCACGGGGTCTGATTCTGCTTTGAAGGTACATTGCAGGTGTGGCCCGGGCGTGCTTTTTCCTTTCTTCTTTGAATAACTTTTTATTGAACTTGATAAACAAGGATAATAGAAGTAATGAATGATACCAATAATTAGACTGAGTCTTCTCATGTCATTTGTATATCACAAAAATAGCAAAATACATCTGCAGGAATATCTGCAATATATGTTTCATTATGAGTGTTCAACGTAGGATTCCTTGGTTTGATTCCTTGGTTCCTGAATAGGTTTAAACAGAAGCAACATAGCATAGCCAAACTCCTAGAGAGGCAAGCTTGTGGTTGCTCTTAGGTTAACTCTCCCCCCCCCCTTCATGTTGCAAATGGAAGAATGCTAGATGCCCTCATGGTCCCTTCCAACTCTACAAATCTGTGATTCTTAATGGAAATGTTGGTCTATTGATGAGTTGTGGGAGGGAGGCTCAAAGTGAAGATGATGATTTATGTTTACATTTAAATTTAGATCAACCAGATTGAGCCAAGTACTGATGATGTGTGTGTTTTCTTCTGTAACCTCAAGGGGCAACAAAACCTCTGCAAATTCCAGCAGGCAAGTTCCCCACTTTCTTGAGGATGTGTGTTACTGCTGTTCTTGTTGTTATTGTTATCACTATTTTTACTACTACTCCATTTATTATCCAGGGTGGGATACAGCAATTTTTAAAATCAACAAAATACAGTCACAGGAATAGGGTGGTCCTGTAAACACATGTCTGCGGTGTCAGAGGCTTTGGTGAATAGCGGAAGGTGTCAGATGTGCCTCTGTGGGAGGGAATTCCCCAACCAAGGAATGCCTCTCTTGGGACATCCCCCTTCCAAAACTCTGAGCGTGGTGAGACTACCAAGACCTCTCCCAATCCAAAAACATCCAATGGGTATTTTAGAGAAGGAGGTGGTTCTTCAGATAATGTGAGCACCTTGAATGGGGCTCAGAAATGAACTCACAACCAATGCAGCAGTTTTAAAAAAGCAAGTAAATGTGTTCTCAGGTCATTGTGGGGATTAAATGAGGAGGGGTGTAAGCCAAGTAGAGCTTTTTGGAGAAAAAGGTGGGATATAAATACAGTTAATAAAGAGAGCGAGCCCACCAGCTAGCCAATAATCTGGTCACTGCATTTTGGACCATCTTCCAAGTCCTCCTACAGCGTGGTGTAGTGGTTAAGAGTGGTGGACTCATAATCCGGTGAACTGGGTTCGCGTCTCCGCTCCTCCACATGCAGCTGCTGGGTGACCTTGGGCTAGTCACACTTCTCTGAAGTCTCTCAGCCCCACTCACCTCACAGAGTGTCTGTTGTGGGGGAGGAAGGGAAAGGAGAATGTGAGCCGCTTTGAGACTCCTGAAGGGGAGTGAAAGGTGGGATATCAAGTCCAAACTTCTTCTTTCTCCTCCTCCTCCTCCTCCTCCTCCTCTTCTTCTCTTCAAGGACAGTTTCACACAGAGGGCATTGCAGTAATTCAATCTGATTCAGAGCATGGATTACAAGGGACACCTCGTCACAGTCCCAAAGGGACAGAGATGGCAAACTAGCCCAGAGCTGGAAATGGGCACTGCTAGTCCCTGAGGCCACCTGAGCCTCAAGTGACCCTGCTGGATTCAGGAGTACCCCCAGGCATATATGGCTGTGTGTGGGTTAAGCTTTGTCACACCATCATCATCATCATCATCATCATCATCATCATCATTAATCCACCCTTCACCTTCAGTTCCCAGGGCAGATTACAACATTAAAAACCACATTAAAACCGTTTAAAACAACTTACGATCTCAGAAATAAGATGAGTCTTTCTTTACTTGCTTTTTAGCGCTGTCCCTTGGCTCCACCCCCACGTGCTTTGAACTTACCCCCGTCATCCTCAGGGGGTTGGCCAGGTAAGTATCTGGCCCTCAGAACAAAAAAGGGAAGACCCCACACCAGTAGTATGTTTTGAGAACATTGGAGATTCCAAGTGCTAGAAAATGAGACAGAAACAGGAAAGGATTGTGTGTTTAGCGGGGGAGGACAGGACGGGGAGCAGCTTTTGAGGGCCCCAGGTTTAGGACCCCCACCACAGCCTAGTGTCCACAATGCATTTGGTACTCACTCGTCAGTCGCAGTTCTGACTTCATGCATTGACTGAAAGGCAGGAACAAGCGGGGTATTCATCTCACAGAAATGCCCTCAGTTGTCTGCACATTTAGTATGGCAACATTACTTCTAGGAGGGCTAAAGTCTTCCTTTTTCTTTTAGAGAAAGCTCAGAGTCTGTGCTGTGGTGCAGTCCAACCCTGGTTCCTAGTAAGACTCATCCACGCTTACTCAGGGAACATTTTTCTTCTCCTGACAGTATACCAATTTTATAACAGAACAATGCGCTTGTTTTGTAGGACTTGTTAGTGCTTCTAATTGGGACAGACAGAACTTGGCAGAAGAAAAAGGGATCTCCGCGAGGCTTCATGAGAGCACAAATGGATGAGCAAGACTCAGCTGACCCTGAAGCAGGAAGAGGCCATGCTATCAAAACTGGGAGCAGTGGGAGTTTCTGGGGAAACTCGCTGCAGAAGGTCCTGGGTGAGGAGGACACCCTCTGCTCAGAGGTGCAGAGCCAGCAGTTCAGGCAGCTCTGTTCCCTGGAGACTGAAGGACCCCGAGAAGTTTGCAACCAATTTTACCGTCTTGATGGTCAGTGGCTGAAGCCAGAAAGGCATACAAAAGTTCAGATGCTGGACCTGGTGATCATGGAGCAGTTCCTGGCTGTCCTTCCACTAGAGATGGAGTGCTGGGTGAGGGAATGTGGAGCAGAGACCAGTTCCCAGGCAGTAGCCCTGGCTGAAGGTTTTCTCCTGAGTCAGGCAGAGGAGAGGAAGCAGGCGGAGCAGCAGGTGAGAGAGACTTTCCTCTGGATGCTCCTAAGGGGCTCCAAACATGAGGGAGAGCATCCCTAAATCCCATCCTTTTTTGGAAAGCATCCAAGAAATGCCTCTGCCATTCCTTTTCCAGTACTTCTCCAACTTCCCTGTTTTAAATCCTTGTTGCTCTTTCAGGGAAAGGAACTGTTTGCAGACAAGGGCTTGGATTCCTCAGAGGACTCTGTGGGAAACCAGAGAGAGGCTGTTGGGTAAGGACTGATGAGTTCTTTCTACATTTTGGCACATGCTATTGATTTTGAAACTAATATAATGGGTTCTTTGAATTCTTTTGAGGAAGACATTTGGGCCCAACATGGAGTCTACACACACATAAAAACTGTTCTGAAAATGCTTTTTAAAAAATACATTGACTTTTCCATAAGGCTCACCACCGTCATTTAGTGTCACATTGCATATTGCACTGAAAACACACTTAAAGCCTTTTATTTGTGGCTGTGTAGCTGAGTCCCAAGAACCCCAAGGAGTGGAGATCCATTTTTGTAGCATGAAAATGTGAAATGAGTACAAACATCCAAATGCACTCAGCAGGCAAGACTTTACGTAAGGCCCACCTGAAGTTAGAGTCGTGCTGCTTGACCTCTGAGAGAAGCATGCACCTGTGTCTTCCTACTTGCCTTCTTACTTACAGGTGACCAAATGATGCCATCAAGACATGCTCCTCCATCTTTTCATGGTGCTGGAGGGGAAGCAGCGGCTGTGGAACCAGATCAAGTAGGAGGAAGAAGCCTTGTGGGGAAAGAGGCTGAGGGGTGGGGCTGCCTGGGTGCCTCCGGGCCCAAATGAATCTCTCCCCCTCCTCCTGCTGCTGTGAAACTGCCCTTAACAAAGTCTGAACATGCCATTCCAGAAGATTTGTGTGCTGTGAATAATCAACAGCCACCTCTCCTTAACTAGGTTTCCGAGTGTTGCTAGTATTATTTACCGTATTTTTCACTCCATAGGGTGCACTGGACCATAAGGCGCACCTAGTTTTTAGGAGGGGAAAAAAAAATCTTATTCCCCACCCCAGCCCCAAAGAGCAGCGGACAGGCTTCTGGAGCTGTCAGGTGAAGCCCGGGTTCGCTGTCTTGGCTTCGTTTTTAGCCGTGCGCAACCTCTCTGGCTGGAGAGGTTGCGTGCTGCCTTGGCTTTGTTTTTAGCCACGCGGCTGGGGCAGGGGAAGCCCGAGCTTCCCCCGACCCCAGCCCCCAGAACAGGTCGGGGAGCGGCGGCAAGGTTGCACGCAGCCTTGCCTCCGCTCCAGAGCTTGGGGGCTGGTGGGGGAAGCCCGGGTTCCCCGCCCCCAGCCCCAGGGACCACACATTCGCTCCATAAGACGCACAGACATTTCCCCTTAGTTTTTAAGAGGAAAAAAGTGCATCTTATGGAGTGAAAAATACGGTATGTTGTTGCACTTTTATTTATATATTTATTGTTGAATGCTAAGACAGGCTTCTAAGCAGTGGCCAGGAGTCCTCTAGCCAGCCACATCAGTTGCACAATGGGGCTCAGCTCCCTTTCCTCCCACTCCTTGTGCCCCCATGCACCCCTTGCAGTTGGCTTTAGGGCATTGGGAGCCCCCCCCCCCCCGCCGCCAAGAACAGCGCATTGGGGAGTGGAGTGGGGATCTTTCCATCTGGCAAGCTGGAATGCTTGCACAGAGAGAAGGATTTGAAGTTCCACCCTATTACACAAAATTAATACCCATCATTAAAATAGACAACAAAAAATCCATTAAAATGTTAAAACAAGCTCACATAATTGAAATGTGCAGCAAACCCATCCAATTAAAACAACACAGCAATTCACAGGCAGAAAATAGCAGAGCAGTGTACAGTTTATATTCTTCATGCTGTCTAAGAGGACAACCTTTTTCTTTTAGGGTCCAGTGTGCTTTGAAGATGTTGCTGTTCATTTCACAGATGAGGAATGGGTGTTGCTGGATCCTGACCAGAGAGCTCTGCATAAGGAAGTCATGGAGGAGAATCGTGAGGTCATGGACTCTCTCAGTAAGACTCCCTCTTGCTTCATAATTTCTGTTTTGATATTGAGTATTGTGACAAACCTCCAGTAATTGGATGGAGCTCAACAGCACCATCTACAGCATCAAGGATTCTAACTCCCCAATGGAGGACTATCAACTGTTTTGTCTGTGCATATTCTCCCTCCAGTTAGGCTTCAGAGCTGTTAGGAAAGTTGAAACAGCTTCTGTCAGGGTTTTTGGTTGACTCAAGAGAAAACTAACATTGGAGATGGAGAAGAATCCATGATTGGGCAAAGCAAAATCCATCCCAGAAAAGAGTCAGGCTTTATTGACCTCAGGTTCCTATAAATATGTCAGTTAATACAAAGACACTGAACCTTGTAGTAAGACCTGGGTGTTCATCAGTATGCATATAATATCCAGCTCTACCTCTCTTTCAAATCAGAACCTCGGTCCAGTATACCTGAAGGAGTGTTTCCACCCCCATCGTTCTGCCTGGACACTGAGGTCCAGTGCAGAGGGCCTTCTGGCGGTTCCTTCACTGCGAGAAGCCAAGTTACAGAGAATCAGGCAGAGGGCCGTTCTCGGTAGTGGCACCTGCCCTGTGGAACGCCCTCCCACCAGTTGTCAAAGAGAAAAAACAAGTACCAGACTTTTAGAAAGACATCTGGAAGGCACCCTGTTTAGGAAAGCTTTTAATGTTAGACAGATTATTGTATTTAATATTTTGTTGGAAGCTGTCCAGGGTGGCTGGTGAAACCCAACTAGATGGGCAGGGTATTATTATTATTAATAATACTAATTATTATCAATAAATGAATGAATAAATAAATAAATAATTGTCTAACTCCCTTCTCTTTTCTCTCTCTCACAAGCATTGATTATCATTGTTCAATAATCTGGGGCTCAGTTTCTTCCTAAGGCTCTAATCCATTTCTCTTATTGTCACAGGTGCTGATGAATTGGAAATTAAGAACAAGAGAGACCACTGCAAAATCCACACAGTGGAGAAGCCATATAACTACATGGTGTGTGGAGAAAGCTTCAGTCAGAGCTTCTATTCCTCTTCCCATCAAAAAAATCCCATTGAGAATAAACTCCTGTCAGTGCTTGAAATGTGAAAGAGCTTCAATTTCCCAAGAGGAGTCTCACTTCCCCATCAAAAAACTCATAGCAGGAAAAAAATCATATCAGTGCTTGGAATGTGGAAAAAGCTTCACCTGGAAGCAAGTCTCACTTCCCATCAAATAATTCATACAGGGGAGAAACCATATCAGTGCTTGGAGAGCTTCGCCTGGAAAGTAAGTCTCACTTCCCATCAAATAATTCATACAGGGGAAAAAACCATATCAAATGTTTGGAATGTGGAAAGAGCTTCAGTCGTATGAATTCTTTGGTGGGAAATGAGGCTTTCCTTGCAGGTGAAACTCTTTCCACATTCAAAGCACTGATAGGGATTCTCCCCACTGTGAGTTCTTTGATGGGAAGTGAGTGGGCCCTTCTGACTGAAGCTCTTTCCACATTCAATGCACTGATACGGTTTCTCACCACTGTGAATTCTTTGATGGGCCGTGAGATGCGCCCTCTTACTGAAGCTCTTTCCACATTCCACATTCAGTGCTTGGAATGTGGAAAGAGCTTCATTCGGAAGGATAATCTCACTTCCCATCAAAGAATTCACAGCGGAGAGAAACCCTATCAGTGCTTGGTATGTGGAAAGAGCTTTAGTCGGAAAGAAAGTGTCACTTCCCATCAAAGAATTCATACAGGGGAGAAACCATATCAGTGTTTGGAATGTGAAAAGAGCTTCAATCAGAACACCCATCTCATTTCCCATCAAAGAATTCATACGGGGGAGAAACCATATCAGTGCTTGGAATGTGGAAAGAGCTTCAGTAAGAGGGCGCATCTCACGGCCCATCAAAGAATTCACACTGGGGAGAAACCATATCAGTGTGTTGAATGTGGAAACAGCTTCAATTCCAAGGGGTCTCTCACTTCCCATCAAAGAATTCATACAGGGGAGAAACCATATCAGTGCTTGGAATGTGGAAAGAACTTCAGTAAGAGCACCCAAGCTCACGTCCCATTAAATAATTCACCGTGGGGAGAATCATAGAATTGTAGCATTGGAAGGGACCCTAAGGTTAATCTCTTGTCCTTTGTCCATGGAGGTTTTTCCTGGCAGGCATACTGGAGTGGATCACGTTTGGTCAAACTCTCCACTATGACCTGTCCATCTTGGGTGGCCCTGCACGGCATAGCTCATTAGCTTCTCCGAGTTATTCAAGCCCCTTCGCCACGGCAAGGCAGTGATCCATGAAGTGAGTGAGGAGGAATTAAAGGAACCTTTTAATGAGGGTGAAAGAGGAGAGCGCAAAATATGGTCTGAAGCTCAAGATCAAAAAAACAAAGATCATGGCCAACTGGTCCCATCACCTCCTGGCAAATAGAAGGGGAAGAAATGGAGGCAGTGAGAGATTTTACTTTCTAGGGCTCCATGATCACTGCAGATGGTGACAGTAGTCACGAAATTAAAAGACGCCTGCTCCTTGGGAGAAAGGCGATGGCAAACCTAGACAGCATCTTAAAAAGCAGAGACATCACCTTTGCCAGCAAAGGTCCGTATAGTTAAAGCCATGGTTTTCCCAGTAGTGATGTAAAGGAAGTGAGAGCTTGAACATCAAGAAGGCTGATCGCCGAAGAATTGATGCTTTGAATTCTGGGTGGTGGAGGGAGACTCTTGAGAGTCCATGGGACTGCAAGATCCAAACCTCTCCATTCTGAAGGAAATCAGCCCTGAGTGCTCACTGAAGACAGATCGTGAAGCTGAGGCTCCAAGACTTTTGGCCACCTCAGGAGAAGAGAAGACTCCCTGAAAAGACCCTGATGTTGGGAAAGATTGAGGGCGCAAGAAAGAAGGGGGACAGAGGATGAGATGGTTGGGACAGTGTTCTCGAAGCTACAACATGAGTCTGACCAAACTGCAGGAGGCAGTGGAAGACAGGAGTGCCTGGCGTGCTCTCCATGGGGTCACGAAGAGTCGGACACGATTAAACGACTAAACAACAACAAGGTTAATCTAGTTCAACCTCCTGCAATGTAAGAATCTCGGCTGAAGCATCCATGACATGACCATCCAGCCTCTGCTTATAATCCTCCAATGAAGGAGCACCCCCCGCCCTCTGAGGGAGTTCATTTCACTGTTTAACAGCTTCCACCACCAGAAAGCTCTTCCTTGAGCTATTTCCACCATCTCAGCCTCCTCTTTTCGAGGCTAAACACAGCCAGTTCCCTAAACCATTCCTCACAAGGCTTGTTTTCCAGACCCTTGATCATCTTAACCACCCTCCTCTACACATAACTGGGACCCCGTATTCCAGGTGTCATCTGTCCAAGGACTAGTCTGACCTTGAACTGGACACTATACTTCAGTTGATGCAGACATTAGCCTTTTTGACTGCAGCGTCACACTGCTGACTCGTGTCAAGCCAAGTATTACCCATTGTATATATGTTCAGCTGATTATTCCTGTGTTAGTGCAGAACCTTACATTTGTCCTTATTAAAATTCATTTATTGCCTTTTTATACCACCTTTTCCTCCAAGGAGTATTAAAGGTCACAGTCCATCACACTTTTGCTGCATGAGTATACTCATGTGTAGGCACCTTGTTAGCAGCTTTCAGTCTTTCTGCTGAGTTTCTGGAAGCAGTCGTCAGCAGTTGAAGCTACACTTTGAGAAGAAACATTCACAGACACCGTAAAACTCAGTCACGTGTTTTATTGCTTGACTGGTCATAAATGCTTCACGGTAACACTATTTACAATCATTATAGCAAGAGCTGTAACGTCATACTAAGTCTCACTCTTTTTAGCAGCGAGATGCAGGCGGACACAGTCTATAGGCAGTCATGACACTACAGTTTGTAGCAGCATTTGTTGGTCGGTTGTTTGCAAAAGGAAAAAACAAAAGTTCTGCTTTTATCAGCACTTGCAGCTGAAGCTGCGCATGCTCAGAGTGCCAATCCCACTTATATACGACTGTTCTGGAATCTTTTCACTGTTTCTGGATGAATGCCCCCCCCCCAGTCATATATAAATAGAAGGTATAATGGCTCGGGCTCAGGTTCAGGCACGAGTGGGCTTGGCGCAGTGGTGGCAGACGGAGGGGTGGAGGCGAGCTTGCAATCACCTAAAAAAAGCTCACTGCCGGTGATGTTTAAATATACAATACTAAAATACCAGTGTTTTGAATATTTAGGAAAATATCAAAGTTATGTTTGATGTTTAAAATTTTGATTTCTTAATTTGGGGTTCACCATCCGTGTATAAGACAAACCTCAATTTTTGAGTAAGTTTTTTAAAGCAAAAAACATTGACTAACACATGGAAAAAGATGGTAACTACAAATGATGGTTTCCTTTGCAAAGTGAACAGTTGCAATTATATCTTTGCACTGTCAACAGTTCACATTTGAAAGCAAGACCAGACTAGAGCGTAGTTCAATCGCGGACTGTGGGTTGGGGGAGGGGTGTCGTCGTTAATCCAGGAGAATTGCTCTTTCAGGGTTCTGCCAGAGCCACAGATCTCCGGCATTGAATGTGTTGGCCTGGTGTGGGGCACCAAGGAGAGCCTGGCTGGCTGGCGGGTGTATCAACCACCTAGACCACTGACAGCCACCCTGTCAGGCCTGCTGGAGGTGGTGGCAGGCTGGGCCTTGGAGTTCCCTAACCTATTGGTTTTGGGGGACTTCAGCGCCCATGCTGACACTGCCCCTTCCTCATGGGCTCTGAACTTGGTGTCTTCCACGGCCTCACTTCGTTCAGGAGCTGACAGAGGCTGGGAATCAAAGCAGGAAAAGAGAGATAAGGACACTGGAATGTGAGAGGGAGGAGGGGCAGCCCAGTGGCATAGCTTCAGAAAGCAGAGAGCAGGCAGCAGATAGCAAAGATCCAAATACCAACCTTAGCTCAGAGACAGAAGGGGAGAGGCTGGGAATAGATAGCCCAAAAACTCGAAGGTGCGAAGAGGTCAGTGAGAGGAGGGGGAAAGAGCGGAAGCGAAAGGGTTTCCCCCCTGTTGGAAGAAGAAGAAGGGCGGAGTTTAGACTCGGCAACTGCAAACTTGGAGTCAGACACAGAGTGAAGGAGCTCTGGAGTGATTTATGTGTTTGAGCAATAAACCTGAGATAATTACTGCCGGTGTCTCGCTTCCTGTGGGAGAGCCAAGCCATTACACTAGGGCTCTCCCAGTTTGTTTTGGCAACACATGTCAAGCAGGCAACACACTGGATTTGATTTTTGGCACAGGTATAGATTAGGGTTAGGGGCAGGGTTAGAGTTATGGATAGGGGGTTAGGGTTTAGGGTGAGGGTAGGAGTTAGGGTTAAGGGTTAGGTTAGGTTAAAGGTTAGGTTAGGGTAAGGGTTGGGTTAGGGTAGGGGGTTTAGGGTTAGAGCAGGGTTAGGATTGGGTTAGGGTTAGAGCACCGGGTTAGGGTGCCCTCCACCAGAGGGGTCATGGCTGAGTCAAGGTAGCAGAATCGTATGATTTGCTGCCTCACTCAGATTCTGGCGCACCTCTCCCTTCTGTTACCCCGTTTATTATAGAAACAGGCCACCGACTGGACTGGAAAGTATGCTTAAAACATATAGTTTACTCACAGTCAAGCACCTGTCCTTAGCAACAACAGCAGTAAAAATAAATGCAGGTAAAATACTTGTATTTACAGTGAAAGCAGCCTCAGGCATGAGCCTGATGCTGGAGCAAGCAGATACAAGTCTTCTCCCATCGGCTGGTTGGAGAGAGAGAGGGGGGGGGGACAGAAAATACTTTTTTCCTTCTTCCCTACCAAGAGAGGAGGGGAAATGAAATAACACAGAGCTTTCTCTACCAATTGCATTGATCTGAGTCCACCTAACAGCAATACTGCTCTGTGATTTTAATCTCCACACTTGCTTACTAGTAAGAATATGCATTTTTAGATTTGATTTCTAAACTCCCACAATATTTACTCCATGGAGCAGTTTCGTTAGCATCCCAGCCTTCCACGGCCTTCCATGGCCTAACACAGTCAAAGCTCCATGAAAGAACCTACCACACCAGCACCCACCTAGAGCTG